TTGTGGAAATGGGCGTACCCGGGGTGTGACGGCAGGCGAAAGGAGTAGCGTTGCACAGTACGCGCTAGAAACGCGGGACCAGATAATGAAATATGACAGAATATTAAAAGACTACTTAAAGCTGGATTTAAGACACGTTCCCTAGTGAGTCTAGAAGATGCAAAAGGAAAAAGGTTTGGAGGGTTGGTCGACGGCAGAGGGAGGCGTGTGAGAGAAGGAAGAAGGGGCCCTTTTATCATAACTAATTAACGCAAAATCACCAGACGCTCTTACTTCCAATTCTACTTCTCCCTTGCCATACTTGACACAGCCCCAGAGAGAGCTGGTGGCTTTCGAAACGATCTGGCAGTCATAATTTTCCTCCTGTATGGAGGCGATGTCGCTCAACTCGAATGACACGAAGCCAAGTCCCTTGTACCATGAAGTACCGATTTGTGTTGGAATCACGCAAGGAAGAGAAAGACGCGCAATTCCAGCAGTGAAGCATCAAGAGTCATTCTTCATACGTCGAGCGTTGACTTGTCCTGAACGGTTGTGGTACGAAGGAGTGCAGCGACCAGGATCGCAGAAAGATGTGAGCGGCTAGACCAGGATGCCGCGACACAGTGCGAGACATGCGGCGGAGAACGGCCGCTAAGATGGACCCCAGGCTTTCTAATGCTTGAGATGGGATGTGGGAGGTTCAAGATCCAGCGCTGGCAAGACTTGATCAGACCAGTATGGGTTGGGGAAGAGAAGACGATTATTCTGGGGTACATCCCCGACCTTTTCGTGTGGGGGCTAGCTCCCGCCGGGCACATTTTACCCAATGTCTTCGGTGCTGCTTTCACACATGCGTAAGGTGAGCTGTTGTGGGCGGCAGTGAGATCCATAAGCCTGTAGTACACGTGTGTAGCAGGCAGCGCTTGTACCGGCTACAATTTTCCACATTGGAATTTCTCGGGTACTGGGCACGTTGCCGTTCGATGCGGCGGCCTCTTTGGAATCATTCGGTGTCCGGTAAACGACTCAGGCGAAGGCCGAGATGTCGAGATATCGAGGTGCTTCGAGCCTTGTCACATCTCCCATGAAGCGGTCGGGCTCGGTACAGAACCAGATGATGGGCGTTATGACGACTGTCGAAAGTGATGTGGTGCCAATGAAGATGCCCGGCGCTTATGCTTAGTTTTGTGAGCCGAACCCACCATCCATCAACTTCTCGCGCCAAACAAAACGTCTTCTTTTCGACGTACATTGATAGAAGAAACTTGAGTGCTTTCATTCTGACATCTAGTCAAGGCCGTTGTTCGACATGATGCGCCTCTCGCCCTCATCGGTCTTCATGAGTTGATAACCTATCCCGGGTTGGCAGCAACTCATCAGTGCCGGTGAAGAGAATACTGTATGTCGAGTGCGTTGGCGAGAAGCATCGCGAAATGAGGCTGTCGTGGGGCTGTTTGCGTGCAGATTTCGGGCTCCTTCGTGGCCCGTGATGAAATTCGGGCCAAAGATGTTTCTCACCGGTGAAGTATTGGCCGAGCTAGGTACTTTGCGACAGATTGGGATGAGATGCATGGATTAATGCGGAGTAGCCATCATCGAGACCGGTAGTTACATGTGATGAAGTTGGTTCCATTGCGTCGGTCTGCGGGAGCATTGGTGACCTGTTCGAAAGTGAGTGAGTGTGATGGATGTGCGGGTAAAGACGGTACTGACAGCAGCGGCTGGTGATCAGCTTGGCGAATACAGACGTCACATATCTTTTTGAACGAATCAGCCTGGGCCGATGATGGTTGGTGTCGGACTGTTTCCGACGTCCTCAGAGTTAAGCCGACATCATTGAAGCGTTGCCGGTCGGGAGCCCTTTACTGTGCGACTGCCGATCCAGTCATTGATTCATGAGCTCTCGTCGCTCGGCTGAGCCTTATCGGTAGCTCAGGGTCGTGGGTCCTCCGCATCGATTGAGAGACAGTCAAGTGGCTCTGAAGGTTTCCTGGGACTACCTGCATGATGCAGCGGCGAGTAAGACTTTCTTTGGCAGTCAGCGTGATATTTGCGTGACGGAGTGTAAGATGGCGAGTGAGGGGCCAAAAACAACATCGGTCGTCACCTTCATGTCACACACAATTGAAGGAGTGAGGTTGAATCCTGAGACAGGAGGTGGAAGGAAGCAGGGAAGTTAGCAGGACGAAGACTAGGCGCAGGCACGGTGCTGATGCTGCATGGTCCCGGCTTCTCAGCGAAGACGACACCATAAGGTTCCTCGGGATGCAGTGAAGAACTTCTTCTTCAGTTGAAATGGTCGATGTTCTACTACTGCTTATGCGCGTATGTAATTAACTGTCCAAGAAGCACTCGAGGCAACGGCCTTTCTGTTCATCTCATGAGCATCACGGTATCCGTATTCGTATGTGGACAGGATGAGTCCTTCCTTCCAGCCCCTTCCAGCCATCTCCACACTTTTGCTTTTCTGCCTCATTGAGAAACAGAACAGGGCGTCATTCGCTAATTTCGGGTGGAGGTTTGGCAGACCCTAGTCTAAGTAACAGGGTTCAGTAAACAGACATGCTGTGAAGCTAGTCAACAACTTGGCATCTTTTCGGATGGTCGGCCTCGAGCAAGATTCCAAAGAAATATGAGAATCTGCAAGTATCTTATATGGGATGGATCAGGAAATTCAGGTCACCCATGCCTCAAAACACAAGCCGAAAGCTGCTTTTGTGCAGCGGAGACTTCACCCGAGGGAATGGGTACCACATCTCAATCATTCACGCCTCTAAATCCTCTCTCTACTATGTACTATGTGAGACTATTGAGGATATCGTTGAAGTCAACGTGGATTGATGGCTGCCAGTCAAACTAACCCTCACGTTGATGGCAGTATTGAAGTAAGAAACGCATGCTTCGCTATAAGTCCAGCAGCTTTGAAGAGAGGCATGGTTTCATTCACATCTGCTGTTGAATTCAATCAAGGCCTATGCAAGCCCGACACTGCATACTGCAGCTCAGAAAGAGGAACGTCGCTTTGAGAATTGTCTGGACCAAATCTGCGAACGCCCCTCTCGCCTCTTGAATAATTTTCCAAATTTCAGGGTTTGGAGGGAACTCATAATCCGTTGCACCCCGACAACGCTACGTAATATGCTATGCACATAGCTGCACGCAATCTTCCAAATCAGGCTCGTCTTTTGAAATGCGTGCATGCGCTCGTGACCCCGAAATCGAATGTAGGAATGCCCAAAGACTTGGCATCCTTGTACGTGCCGAATTGACAGTGTAAGTCAACCAAGTCTCTCACAGTGTTTGTCTAGCTCAAGTGCGATCGGTCCAGACCCCCGAGCTGTTCTCGTTAGTATTGGAGGGTGTAGTTGGAGCAGTCTGCTGACCCCGATTCTCCATAATATTGCAGAAATTCACCTGGATTATGTGGACGTTCTCCTTCAGCCGCTCTTGCACGTCCATCAGCTGCGCCGCGGGACCATTCCCTTTCCTCTGCCGGCTGCATGAATCTCACCTCGGGTTACAACACCATTACCCAAGGCGGGCGTCCGGATGCCTCCGCACGCTGTGCTCTCCAGTTGTAAGGCACATCTGTGTCCTTAGATCCGGTTCTGTTATCGATCATTATGTTCGAATGAGAGGCCTCCCTTTCGATATTGACGTAGAAACTGCCAGATTTTGCGGCGAGGCAATGGCCTCAGTCTGCAGTTGTTCTTTTCATTCGGTATGGCTGTTGTCCAAAGACGAAACCAATGGTGCAGCTGCTACGTGTCTAAGATTGCCTCAATGATGAGATCTTACTTACAAGATGCTGTCATCTCTCCGGTACTACTACTTCACGCCCTCAACGATCAGCAACGAGCCTCTCATGCCACGTCTCCACCCTTCAGGAAAATCCGGGGGCGGGACGTCATGCGTCGGTGATCCAGGAGCCTGGTCCAATACCGAGCCAGACTACCTTCAGGTCAAGAGTCTTGGCTCCAGTTTGCGAGTCAATTTCCTTTCGGAGAAAACAAGAAACAGTGCTAGATTTGCTTCGGACTCCGAGCGCCACTCGTTCTCAGAAGGCGACAGGTCCGCGTCTACGGCCATTCTCGTGGAAGCCTTTTCCGCGCCCAGCATGAAGCGCATCAAAATCCTTCTTGGCTAAGCCGTCTCGTGCCGAGATGACCTGAGCCGATCATGCCACTCTACACGTGTCTCTCGTTCATTGCGAGTTCTCGTACGCGAAGGAGAGGGTGAAGAGTGAAGGTATAGAGGCAACCCACATATAGATCGTTACCTCTGGTGACCCCGTAATGCCGTAGTTCTCTCACCCCGCGTAGGCAATTCTCTCGAATCATTGTTTTCTCATGCCTAGTCCGCTAGAGGGAGCAAGGCTACCTAACCTGCGGGGTCGTTCCACGCTCAGGGGTCATTTAGACGAAGAAGCTAGAATGCGTTGCCTCTGACCCGTCTAGGAACCAGCCTTAAAATAATCGTGAGCGGGAGAGGCATTCAACAAGAGATATTTAGGCGTTCATGATTTGGAATAGTCCATTTCTCCAACATCTGTTTCTCAACTGCAATTGGAAGCCTTCTCCTTGGTATTCGTTGACCTCGGTCTGGTATGTTGCTTCGAACCGCCTTCAGTGCCGCAGTTCTTGGTGGCTAAGTGGTCTACTTGAACTCCTCCAAGAAAAGTCCTGGATTACTAGGCTGGCATGGAAGCTTCAGGAGACCATTTCAATAGCTTTCAACCCCACGACCGACCTCTGTTTGCATCGTTAAGCCACCACGCCCTGCGTCCCTCCACCGGGATCTACTCAGCCAGGGAGAAGTAACCCGGACGAGGTCTTGCCCACTTGTAGTAAGCTTGAACCGACTTCTCGGGACATTCGGGGACACGTGCTACACATGTTGCTTGTCCACCCATGCACACATCGAAGTTAGGCTATGTTTCTAATTCCAACGACATCTCCGAGGGAAACCGCCACATCTTGTTTTGAGAACTGAGCAAATCTCCCCCACTTGTGTCTCTTCTAGCAGACTTTCTCTCTCCCCAGAAACTCAAGTATGTCCCGTAGCATTTGTGGGGAATGACCATGTCCAAGTCCCTCATATATCTTGAAAATAACATCGCACCCGGCCATCCGTAACACCCGCGAGGCTTCTTCAGCGTACTGAAGCAGCACGTTATCATCCTCGGTACCGTGACCAAGAAACACAGTACTTTCATGTACGCGAGGTTCTGAGTTTGATGACAGCGGCGGAAATCCTACCTCTTCCCGGAGAAGATTCAAGGCCCGTATCAACAGAGTGCCTGGCGAACCACCTTCGTCGTGTGAAAAGGGGTTCAAGGTGTCATCGCCAGTGGTTTCAAAAATTTCATCCTCGATGTCAACATTTCCTTCCTGCTTATCATCGTGATGTTCGAAGCCTTTATTGCCAGATTCGTCTTGACGCAAAGTGTCGCCAAGCACGCCACCCATGGGCAGCATCCCACACATTCCCACGATGCCAGCGAGAGGGTCATCTTCCCAGAGCAACATGCAGACAAGGGCGGTTGCGCATCCTTGACTAAAGCCGCCAAAAAATACTCTATCTGCGCCGCCGACAAGCAAGGCTTCTTCCCTCAAAAGCCCATGCAAATACTCAATGGTCTCTTTCGCATGACCCAGAACAGTCTCCTCCCAATCACCGCTCCCATCAAACCATTGGTTGATGATGGATCGTCTGTAGATCGTCGCCCGTGACCGTGGCGCCGTGGGGAATACGAATCTAGTGTTTGGCAGGGACTCTCTCAGCGATTTGGAAACCCTGTCCGTCTCCAGTCCAGCAACAGAGGTGTCAAGAAGGTCGGGCGCAAAGATACGAGCGCTGGAGCCCCGGCCATGGAGGAAGATGATGGTCTGGTTGTGAGGCTGCCTCAGAGGCGGGAAGATGGTGGGCGGTGGAAATGTGTGAAGTGCCTGACGCTTATCGCTGCTTGCGTTTGCGAGCTGCGGCGAACTTGATGCTTCGAACATCTTCGACCGGGAATGTGAGGTACATGTCCAAATCCGACCGGAGGTGGTGATGCGGGGTTGAAAGTTGAGGTTTTCTGATCCAGCTTGATGGGTCTCCACAAAGAGCCTCCGACATCTTAAACCCTCGAGGGAAAATATGTCTTGATAAATTTCTTGCAAAAACTTGACACCAAAACGATTTTGTGATAACATGAACTCAATTAGCCCAGAACCATGCTCCCAGACATAGCTACTTCACCGGACCACATAGTGTGCGTGCTTCAAAATCGAAAGTTCGGTCCAGTACGGTTCCAGGATGGTCTCTATCATCCCCTTGTGAACGAAGACAGGCCCAGATGTCCCTTAATCTTTCCTTGGGGGTATGTAACTACGCTTCTCTTTTTTGTGTCGGAATTCGCTCACGCTGAGAACCATTTGTGCATCACCCCTTGACCATGGGAACGGCGGCCATTGGCGACAGCCCTTGAACGAAAGATACCTAAGGTTAATGAGTAAGGCAAGGAAGCACTTACGAGGACAATATATGAATAGATCGATGAGAAGGGATAGTTTATAGACTTTAGTTTATCAAGACATCGGGAAAAGATCATTCTCAACATATTGGTGAAATCCGCGGAAGTTAGTTTCTAAAGATGTTGTGGCGCTAACATCACGCCTAAAGTAAGTACACCTAAGATATGAGTATACGTCTTCATTCAGAGTAATGAAAACTTTTAATCGATGAAACACAACGAACTCATATAAGCCGACACTCAGGGAACGGCTAAGAAATGCTGGGGTTGTAACACGGGCATTCTTCGGTAGCCCTGTTACCATCCAGACTCTCTGGCAACTAAAATGAGGTTGAATTGTCGGTATGAGGTTGATGTTAGATTTTGAACGGTGATAAATGAGCGCTCCTTGATGTTCTCTCAGCAAGTGATTGTTGTCCTTCAAGTTCCAGTTCATTGCAAAGAGGCAGGTCGTCTTGCGTACCACAACACCAGCGCCATCGCAGCCGAGTAAGCCGCCTGCGATTCGGCATCTGCAAGCCTTAGAGTGATCTTGTGCAACAACAATGGTTGGGAACACTAGCATGCATGTATGCACTCCTCCCTTCCTTCATCCATATGGACAGAAAGGCTGGGGAGCGTACAACGTCACACCAAGGCAGCAGCAATAAGCATCAAATGCAAACTCAGCCGCATATGTTGTCTAGGCAGGGTATACGATCCATCCACAGATTAGTAGCATGCGTCTCAGTTGCGCTTCTGTAGTGTTCATGCTCATGGGATCCAAATTAATGGGAAAGAGGAGTGCATCTGCATAAGGATCGCTGCATCGGAAACCAATCTGCCAATGCCACATTGCGCGATTGACTGGACGGAAGACTTCAAAGCCAGAAGGCTACAAAAGATCAAATTTCACGGAGCCGAACGCTTTTCCATTGCTCCCGGAGAGAATCCTGATTCGACGGAAGGATCGAAGCTTCACCATCGTCTGAGCTCAGCATCAGCTTCGAGGTCTAAGCATCGTCAACGGGGGGTTCGGATGACAGCGAATCATCGGCTACAGATGCCTCATGCCAAGAACAAACGGCGACGGCCATGTGTAAGGAAGCGAGCTAGAGACCTCACTAAATGATTACTCTCGCTCACGTTTGACCAATGCCCCTGACTCAATAGCGGTCGGTAGCAATTGTTCACTCCTGCTGGAGGCGGCACGGGAAATCCTCAGGATTCGAGGGCTTAGTGGTCTAATTTGACGAGAACGGCGCATGGCCGGAAGCGCTTCGGAAACGGCTGGGACGAAAGACTTCTGACAAATGGGATTATTGGGCCGTTGATTGTCTGAAGGATCATATGGCCATGTCAGCACCCACGCGCATGGATAGAATTGGAGATGTCGAGTGTGTTTGGGTTGATCGACTCGCCAAACAAAACTAAGCGATCGTATCACCAGCTGGCGACCCGCGCCAGTGGGAAGCGGTCGGAGACGCCGTGCGTGGTCCTCGGACCCGACCTGCGGATATGGAGCCGTTCTACCGCTCTTTACCAAGTTTCTATGTGCGTCTCTGGAGAAACAAGAGTCATAAGGCTGAGTGAGGTCACCGGATTGGAGAAACAGAGAGACCACGCAGCGGCGACTAATGACGAGAGGGGCAACATGAGAAGATGCCGCAGAGGTCAGGTGTCTGTCTGCATTCACAGCACTCTGCGAGGTCTCTTCGAGATTAGCGAAGGGTGACAGATGCTCCATCTGGCATGGTACGGTCTTCGGAGCCTGGCGATACGGGCGCCCTGCTGGGTTTAATTTTAGAGATGTCTTTGCCGCTAGTGGCGCTCTCTTTTAGTCTGTCTTCAGGGGACCGCCCTGACGGCGCTTATGGTGGTTGGCTTCCCACTTGATTCCATGACTAGACTCTGCCGATTTTCCCCCCATGGTGCGTTGTTGACATCGTTTGTGTGTTTATTTCTGGCGGCTTCTTTGTCGGCAGAAGGCTGAGGACAACTACCTCCTGAGTCGGGAACCCCCTGGGTCTAACAGCCTGCAGCATCGCGTGGCAAGTGCCGAGTGGTCTGGTTGGACAAACAATAACATGCGTGATGTGGCTTTCACCCCCAAGCTATCAGTCCCAAGCTACCTCTGCAAGCCTTTGGATACCCGCCGCCCATCAACATGCCGTGATACCTGCCCAGCAACTCGGTGTCGGTACAGGGTCAGCGGCCGAGAGCGCTGCAAGCCTGCAAGCCCTGCGCCTCCTCCACAAAACCGTGTGGAGAGACCGTACCCAAGATTTCAATATCTCCAAGGCAAGATGTAGCGCATCAGGTGACCCGAAATGTCGGCAAAAACGAGAGACATTGTCTCCACGGGCTGGCAGAGGGGAAGGCGGGTTCGGCATGACAAACCGACCCCATCGATCTCCATTCATACAAGTCATGAGCAAGAAGGAGAAAGCGAAGGTAGCGGTGGGCTGAGTGACGTTTCGAAGCTGGGATCGGCCTGTCCCGTCGTGTTTTGAGCAAAGAAGCGCCCGTGCAAGCGAGAACTCTGTCAAAGTCCACACCGCAGGGCTGGTTGATGGACTCGGGGTTGGTGGATGATGAGCGAAGCAGAGACCACATCCTACCTGACTGTGCTGTTCTGCCCAGGCTCCAGCATCATGCACAGCCACCTTCTGACAGCCGCCGGCGGGATGGGTTGAGTGAGTAAACTGTACTGCGTAGTAAGGCAGAGGCAACCCAGCCAGTTGGATACGAGTATCCGGACTACTATGCAGTACAGTACCGTACCTACTTAGTACATAGCACACCCCCGGGGACTGGCGATCGGTCCGTCTAGCTTTCATGGTTGCAGCGAGCCTTGATCTCGTGAGGCGCGGGCATGCAGGCGGGCTGCGAAAGAAAAACAGTCCGGTGGGTTCGGGGTCATGGAACGTTGCGGGCTGCGGCGCGGCGCGGCATGGCGCCCTGCTGCCCTTTTGGCTGTCGCCAGGCTCACCTTACTCACCTCGGCACCGAAAGTCAGAAAACGGTCGTCGCCACCGGCAGAAAGTAGAAGTCTCTCACCTTCGTGTCTGGAAATAGCGCGTGATGCCAGATGGGTGAAAGTCCCGTGTCCGGCCTTGGCCTTTGGCCTTCCCAGCGGAGAATTATGAAGATCTCTGGGGCCTTCGGGCGCCGGCACGACTTTCAACGAGGCTAAGAAAAATTGAATCTGCGGCAGAGAGATTTGCTGCCGCGGAGCTCGTGGGGAGAGATACTGAAATTGACGGTGGGCAAAGGGGGCCGGACTAGCTGACAACACCGTGGATTGGATATTGGATAGCCCGGCCCTGGGTCCGCCTGTTTCGAACCGGCGGGCTGCAGTCGGTTCGCAGCTTCACGAAGAAAAGAAACTTAGGGCAGCCCGGGACGAAGGCACTCCTGTTTCACGGAGGACACAGCAAGTCGCAGCTGGAGCCTTGGCAATGAGCCAGGGACGCTGAGATGGGCTGGTTCTGACTCCTCGGGGGGCGCCAGCCCAGGCTGACGGGGAGGAGATGATGGATCACGGAACATTAACAAACGGGGCGATTGCACAGCTGTGATGAAAGGGAAACTCGGCTGCGAATACAACATATCGGGATCGAGGCGCCGTGGTTGGCTGGCGGCGGCCGCGGGTCTCGGTGCATGTTGCTCGGCTGAGCATCTAATCTGAAGATCAATCAACCGGTGACTGGGCCGGGTGGGAGATGGCGAGACGCGAAGTGGCAGAGTCGCAGAGAAATAAGTTCCAAGCTTCCAAGATTCGGCCAACTTCATCGTTGACAATGGGAGGTGAGTGAGGTAGGTGGGCTATAGTAAGAAAACTGCCTAGAACTCCCGCCTCCTGCATCGCTGGGCGCAGCTTGCTTACTATGATTGCTATCCTCCCTCCGTCTCTCCCTAATTATGCACGCGCGCGCTCGCACTAAGGCACATGGCAAGTCTAAATGCAGGGTCTCGACGTGGCATCCATCCAATAAATCCAAAGTCCCCTTCTGTACGTACCGGCAATCTGACAAGGGCGATGCGCGCTGCCATGCGCGGCAAGACGTGCTCGTAAATCTGGACGATGATGACTTGTAAGCAGCACTGAGACGATAGATCAATGTAATGTGTTGCCAGGTTAAGGTGAGTTAAGCAGGCCCCGGGGGATCTTCCAATGACGCTGCGAGAGAGTTTGACCTCGCAGCGGGAGGCACACGGCAACCGCGACTTCGGGCTATGGGGAACGCCAAAGATAGGATTAACAGGGTTCTTACGGGGGTCAGTTAGGGTTGCTGAGTCGGTCTCGTCGCGTGAAAGAGAGAGAGAGAGAGAGAGAGAGAGATGGAGAGAGACAAGGCAACACAGACTCGGACGGTCACGGATGCGTCGCAGGGATCCTCCCATTGCTTCAGAGACGATCTATTAGACGAGCAAGACATCACCAAAGATGCGACGGCAGGCTGTTGTGACTTGTGCCCTATCACGATGCGGTGCACTAGTATTGTC